GCCTGCAATGTTGGGGAGAGAAGGAGAAGGAGGAGGAGAAGGAGGAGCGTTCTCCTGTACCTGTACATGATCCGATCGGGCTGGAGGTACTTCTTGGACTCCTCGAAGACCTTGAGAGCATCCTGCAGAAGACACGCTCAATGCTCTACCACTCTCTCTCTCCCTCCTCCCTGTGCTCTGTCACTGCTGCTGCTGCTGCTGCTGCTGCTGCTCCTCCTCCTCCTCCACTGCGTACCTCAAACCGACCAACCCGAGCAAACGCTCCTATCATCGCCGTGTACGTTCGCTCGTTCCGCTCCTTGGGGTCCTGCTCATTCGATACATCACGCGGGGCAGGAAGAGGGAGGAGGGGCACCATCTCGAGGAAGAGCTCGTGGGCCATCAGGACGGCCTTGGGACTTCCTTCAGCCTTGGCAGCGTTGATGAGAGCAGTGTAGGAGACGGTGTTGGGGGTGATGTTGGCGTCTTTCATCATCGAGAAGATCATCTTGCCGTGCCTGGTCGCGCATGAGGAGGAGGAAGACGGAGGAGGTGAAGCAGGAGCAGAAGGTGAAGCAGGAGGAGGAAGTGAAGCAGGAGGAGGAGGAGGAGGAGGAGGAGGAGGAGGAGGAGGAGGAGCTGAGCAGCAACGGATCCTCACTCGATCACTTGGCTGATGCCGCGGGTGCGGAGGGACGACATGCAGGTCTCAAGGAGGGCGGTGTAGGTGACGACGTCGCCCAACAGGTTGTCCTCCGCCATCATCTTCAGCACCTCCATCCCTTCGTCCAGACTCCAGGATGTGACCTTGAGGATGAAGATCAAGATGATGGGGGGAGGAGCAGGGAAGGAGCAGGAGCAGGAGCATTGGAGGGAGCCAGCAACGTCACAAGTTGGAGCAGGAGCACAGGAGCAGGAGTACAGGAGCAGAGGCAGGAGCAGGGGCAGGAGCAGTAGGAGGAGCATTTAGCAGGAGGCTGAGGTTTAGGTAGGGGTTGCGGAGATTGAGGAGGAGGAGGAGGAGGAGGTGGAGGAGAGGGGGCGGCGGGGGAGGGGGGGGGACGAGAAGGAGGCTGAGGAGGAGGCTGAGGAGGAAGAGGAAGAGGAGGAGGGAGAGTTACCCCCTTGACGTGAGGAGGGATCTTGGCAGACTTGGCACAGAGGTTCATGATGGTGTTGTACGAGTACAAGTCTGGGTGAAGCCCCTCCTTTCTCATCATCGCCAAGATGCCTATCACCTCCCAGTACCCGTAGACCTGCCGTCCACGTCATCCGCACCGCAGCCATCCCAAGGGTAGCTCACATGCCCCGCAGAAGCAGCCTGCGCGTACGTGTTTAGGAGGGAGTTGTAAGTCTGGAGATCAGGCGCGACTTGTGTCTCTCCCATCATGTCGAGGATTCGAATCGCCTGCCAGCACCTTTCAGTCTTCTCCCTCCCCCCGTCGCTTGCCGGACATGCGAAACCCCAACTGATCCCCACACCCGCGCGGCCTTAGCGCAGAGGTTGATGAGGGTGTTGTAGGTTATGGTGTCTGGCTGTACTCCGGCCTCCTGCAAGGTGGGTGAGGAGGAGGAGGAGGAGGGAGGGAGCGGAGATGAAGCACGTGGGGCGGGGCAAGGGGGGGCGAGGAGGAAGACAGAAGGGTGATGGGAGTGTGGAGACGGAGAGGAGACGAGCAAAGGGAAATTCGTTGGCAGGGCAAACATTCACCTTCATCTGGTCGAGAACTTTCAGCCCTTCCTCGATCCTTCCTCTACTCCCCTTCACCCCACCAGCCCTTGCACAAGCGTCGATGAGGACGTTGTAGCTGATGACGTCCGGCTCAATCTCATTCTCCCTCATCATTGACAACACCGTCAGCCCGTTGGTCACCCACTCGCTGTTGTCCGGCTGCCAGGTAGTCAGTACGACCTGCAGCAATAGATGGGGAGAAGGAGGACGAGAGGGAGGAGGAGGGAAGAGGGGGAGGAGAAGGAGGCAGAAGATCAGCAGAACAAGCACGGCTAGGAGCAGGAAGAAGGTGAGGAGGAGGAGGAGGAGCAAGGAGAAAAGGACTAACGATTGAAGCTCCTTTGGCTGCTATGTTCAGGAGGGAGTTGTACGTGTTGAGGTCGGGGTTGACACCGACCCCCCGCATGTCATTGAGAACTCTCAATCCCTGCTCATTGATCATCATCATCTCCTGTTTCACTATCCAACCCCCACCACCTCTCCTTCACCGCCACCACCTCCTCATCCCCCTCTTCCTTCACCTCCTCCTCCACCTCCTCCTCATTCCCATCATCATCATCATCATCACCACCACCACCACCACCACCACCACCACCACCACCACCACCACCACCATCATCATCATCATCATCATCATCATCATCATCACAATCCCTCACCACACAACCGCCATACCCCATCTCCTTCCTTCAGCTCACCTGCTGGAAGGACTGGGTCTGTGCAGCACCTTTCGAGATGACATCAAGAAGCGTGTTGTACGTGACAATATCTCCCGTCATATGGGCCCTCCGCATCAGCGACATGACCTCTTCCGCCCCCTCCAAGTCTCCTGCTCCTCACGCACTGTCAGTCGTGACAGGTCTCAGCATGCAGCAGGGCCCCGACCTCCTCTCTTCCTCGCACAGAGTCTCAGCGCGAGGTTGTATGCGCTGATCTCAATCTTCGACCCGCTCCTTTCTCCTCTGGTGTGGTTGGCAATCAGCTCAATCGCCGTCGCTGCCGTCTTGCAACCCGCCAGCTCATTCAGCAGCGTCTTCCTCGCCCTGAAGTAGACAGGACATGTCAGAGAGCTGTCAAGGTCAGAAGTCTTCCCACGTCTTCCTGTCGGTGCTGCTTGCTCTCTTGGGCACAGCGAAACTTCCAGGGACGAACTTCTCCTTGGGATCACAGCATACGATCGGAATTAAGCCATGGCTTCGCCCGACTCGCAAGAGCTCCCCTCGGCAATGAGCAGGCTGACACACTTTCACGAAGCTGCTCAGGTAAAGATGAGGAGAGGAGGTGAAAGCGCAGCATCCCTGCTTCTTCCTGCTGTCAGGCGAATGAAATTCTTTGATCAACGACTGTTGTGCCGATGTCTCGATCAGGGTGTGAAGGATAGTCACTGCTAGAAGCTTCGAGAAGCCGCTGTCCCGGACCATGGTGCGCGTTCCTATCGCAAGCGCAAGCTTACAGGCATTCACTGAACAATCTGCAACCACCAACGAGTCATTGCAAGGGGTTGTAAGTACCCTTTGTCCTGACTTGCGGAAACATGGCAAGTCAAGCTACTCAACGCCTGCCCATTGCTAGCGATTATCTGGATCCACCTAACCAGTGTACATACCAAGAAACCTCTTCTCCTCCGCCTCCTCCTCCGCCTCCTCCTCCTCCTCCTCCTTGTTCTTCCAGCCACCGGGGGCCGGCCCGGGCCTGGGCCCGGGAGGCTCAGGGCTTCGGTGAAGGCTCCGGCGGACTCTAGCCGAATGATATAGTGACTGAGCCGCGGGCCCGGGGCCCGGCCCGGACCGGACGGTCACACTGAGGCTGAGCCGGCTGCCAGTGAGTCACAGTCAGTGCGGCACCGGGCCGCGGCCCTATGTATGCCGCGGCCGCGCCGCTGAGCCGCTCCCCCCGCGGCGCCGGGCGGCCAGCCCCCGCTGGCCGCCCCCCGGCCCGGCCAGGGATCCGCGCGGGGCCCCCGCCGGGGCGGCCGGGGGCGGGCCCCGGCGGCAGTGAGTCAGGCGTGCCCGGGCCCGGGGGGCCCCGGGCGCCGTCGGAGTCCCGGACTCGTCACGGTACGGTAGTGATCATGATGATTGATTGAAACTTACTCCGGCGAATGGCGGTTGAAAGTCACTGAGTACCGTACGGTAGTACTCGGAACCCGGCGGCGGGCCCGCGACGGAGTACTACAGTACTGGTACGGTCCCACTGGCCTGCGGCCCCCCGACGGCATTCGCGGCACCGGCGGCGGCGCCCACCATCATTCCGATGACCACCCCCCGGTATTAGAATGATTTAGACTTGAAAGGACCCCTCCTGGAGTGACTCTCGTTGACTTTCCTTCAATAAAAAGACTAATAAAAAGAGTACTGGAAGGAACGGCGGTACATTTTGATCCACAGGTTCTACATTGCCGGTGAACATTTGAATTTTGAACTGCAATTTTCAAAATTGCACCAATGATACTTTCCAAGTTATCTCTCTGACCTTGGGAATTTCACTCATCGTCACTTTACAATTAGCCACCCCTACCCCCTAAGATGATATTGAATAGTACCCCACCCTACTTCTTTCCGGTATGTCACCGTACAGGTACCCCTCTTGACTACCTCAAACCACCCCCACCCCCTTCATGGTCTTGTTTTTTTCATAAACAGCGAGTCGCCTTTCAGAATGACAGCAGCTAGTCTGACGTGTCGGCAGAACGGCATGCATACATGCTCGAAGTCGAATCATCCTGTCTATCTTGGAGCTATCTTCATCCTCTCTCTTCCTTGCCCCCTCTCTGCCTGACTAAGTCCGCCTCTCTGCCTCCTCAGTTCCCCCTCCTATCTGGCATCAGCGGTTCCTGACTTTGATGTCCCTCCTTCCTGCCTGTACTTCCCTTCAGTCGCTCTCTCCTGAGATCTGATTCCTTGGGTGATGCCTTTGAAGTTCTATGAATGTTGCTTCCTGTGATATTGGACTTCAAAGTGTATGAGCGTCGCTCTCTTCTTGAGCGACGCCTCCAGCCGCAGCTGCAGCCGCAGCTATTTGAATTTGAATGTCTCCCTGTAGCCTTGAAATGCACCCGCCTAGGTGATGATGAGCTCGTCCATGTATCAGCAGCATTATCTGTGGCATTTGTTTCTGACTAATACTGATGTGCATGCCTCACACCATGCATTTCTAAAATTGAATCCCTGTGGCTGTATATTGACGATTTTGTGGCATAGCAGGAGTCAAATGAAAGCATGAAGGACAAAGGAAATGCTGTGAGTGTGGAGTCTGAAAGATGAAAGCGCTTCAAATCTTCAAGGATGGCGGGAAGGAAAGGAAACTTCATCGATTATGCGCAGGAAATGAAGCTCTCCTGGCAAAAGAATGCGCGTTGAAGGAGAGGAGTGCTATCTGTGCCAAGGACGAGCGAGGGTTGACTCCGATACATGTTGCCTGCTGCAACCTCAACTCTCAGGCTCCGGACATTGTGGACGCCATAGTCTCGATCGACCCACTCTCCTGCCGTCAGGTGGACAACCTGAAGCAGCTGCCGCTGCACATCGCGTGCAGGAATGAGGGCGGGGAGGAGGGAGACACCCCCAACGTCGTCAAGTTGGTGAGGGTCCTCGTCAAGTACTACCCCCAGGCCGTGACTGAAGAGGACATGGATGGGTTGCTGCCTGTTCATTGGGCAATGCGGAACCCTGTCAAGGGCATCAGCGAGGCAGTGGAGCTTCTCCTCAAGATCTACCCTGACAGTGCCGTCGCCCAGCCCTACTGCATTGGAGGCCTCGGGGTCGACAGCTTCTGGAACGAGCTGGCTGAGATCTTGAGGAGGACAGACGGGTTGCAACAGAGGAGGGAAACCTTGTCGAATGCTGTGATCGCCAAGACGAGGTCATGGCCGACGGGGCATTCGAACATGGCGGCGTTCGATTGCGCGTACGAGGACATCAGGTTCATGTGCCCTGTGCTGCAGATGAAGAGGATCTTCTTCACCGCTCTGAGGGACCGGGTCGCGATGCTCTACAACCAGGGCCAGAAGAGAACGCATAAAAGGAAGTCCTTGCAGGCGTTTGCCTCCTCTTACTGCGACAAGCTGGTCGGGAAGAAGAGCTCTGCGTCGAGTGAGGAGGGCGTCTCGAGGGCGCACCCGTCCCTGAGCACGTCCTCCATTTTCACGACAGACAATCTGGTGTTCTACAGAGAGTGGTTGGTGGCATCCTCCGACCTCCCCCAGCTCCTGTTGAATGTGAAGCACTTGCCGCAGATTTACACCCCCAGTCTGATAGGATCCCTTACTTCCATGCAGGATGCCTGGTACAGGAAGCTGCAGCGGATCGCTCCCAAGGATATCCTCGTGCTGCGCGAGCACATGCCGGTGCACCTAGTAGCGGCGCACGAGGGGGAAGACGCGGTGTTGATGCTGGATCTGCTGATGAACCTGGACAAGAGAGGGATGGAAATGCGCAACTGCCTTGGGCAGAGCCCTCTGCATGTCGCATGCAGCAACGAGAGCGAGTTCGCGGAGGAGTTGGTGTCGAAGATCTTGGAGAACAACCCTGAGACAGCCTTTGCGCAAGACCACAAGGGAATGCTCCCCCTCCATCACATCTGCTTGAACAGCGGGCCCGTGGCAGGATCGATAGCAGGCAGGCTCATCTCTGTGTACGCTCCTGCTGCCCAGGTCGCGGACGACTTCGGTCGCCTCCCCATCGAGTGCATCCCCTTCTCTGCCAGCGACAGCGTCGGAGAGCTGATCAAGTCTGTGGTGCGAGCGTTCCCTGCGGGAGCAAGGATCCTCGACAAGGAGGGGAACAACATCCTCCACCGGGCGAGCAGGTCGATAGGGCTGAATCCCAAGATCCCAGACATCCTTGAGTCTTTCTTGGACCTCAAAATTCGTCCCAACGCATGCTCCCTCTACAACTTCGAGAAGATGCTCCCCATGCACATCGCGGCTGTCTCGCAGGAGGAGGACGCGTCTCGGTGCATCGAGATGCTGGCAGACGCTTACATCCCCGGCTCGTGGGCACAGGACGCCAACGGCGACACCTCCTTGCACATCGCGATCCGCAACAGGAACTTGGAGTCCGTGCGGGTGCTGACAAACAAGGGGAGGGACAAGGCCCAGCACATTCAGAATTCAGAGCACAAGTTTCCTCTCAACCTCGCGAGCTCTCGAGCTTTCCGTGAGGTGATCTGTCACCGGGGCAACAGCGAGCAGGGCGATACGTTCCCCAGGAGGATTGCGGACTTCCTGTCCATCGTCTGGTTCGGCGTGTCCATCGTCGGCACCGTCCGCACAGTGAAGGGGACGAGCTTCTGGTGGTTCCAGATGCAGATTGCGCTGCTGGTCGCGTGGTTTGCAGTGTCCTTGCTGTACCTTCTTGTGGTGCTGCACGTGATACAGCGGGGGAATTGGGTGTCAAAGTTGATCATCAAGGTCATCCCAGCGCTCAAGGAGCACCAGGGGTTCCTCTTCATCATGCCGCTCTCCATTCTCCAGGTCTACTTCAACCTCAAGTACTTCGACAGCTTCCAGCTCTCCGACCAGATCGTCCTCGCGTCAGCGTGCGTGCTCGTCTCGCAGCTCGCGCTGCTGGAGGACGGCTCTCGCTTCCATGCTCTGGAAGTCGTGCAGGGCCTGTCCTACCTCGAGGTCTTTGTCCTCTTCCTCTTCCGTGTCATGGAGTTCATGGCTCGAGTGACCGTGCTCGCCATCGCTGCCCTCGACCTCGTCCACTGCAACGAGGAGACTTGCACTGTGAAGGAGACGGTGGCTATCATCTTCTTTGTCGAAGTCGCCCTCCTCCTCGTCTTCCTCCGCGTCACAGCCTCTCAAACCTTGCTCAGCACGGATTTCACAGAGCAGTTCTTCCTTGGAGCTTCCATCGTCTTCAATCTTATGGCTGTGTTCTCCACTCCTCCCCAGACCATGATCACGTATCTGGGGCTGGTGCAGTCGGAAACAGCCTTCATTGGTAGGGAGGAGGAGGAGCTGAGGATTATTATTGTAATTATCATGATTATCATGCTGATTATCATTATCATGATGGTGATGGTGATGGTGATGGTGACAACGACGAAAATGTCCTCTCGATTATTTCCTAAGCATATTTGCAGGAGAAGTCAAGCTCCTCGATGCATTCATCCTCCTCTCCATCCGCGCCCTCTCCAACTGCGCCTACCTTGCCGTTGCCTACAAGCTGGATCCGGCCTACAGCCTCTGGGAGAATCAGACGAAGACGCTGGTCATGATCGCTGCCATCATCAGCATACCAGGGCAGATGTTGTTCGCGTACATCCGGTACATCCTGTGGAGCACGATAGAGCAACAGGTGGACGTGCGGTTCAAGCTCATGAGCAAGAGAGAGAAGATCCTCAACTCGCGCAGTCACGACACGTCGGCCAACGATCAGATGAAGTTGATCAATCACTCCATCCTCACGCTAGGAAAGTTCTACCTCAACTACCGCGCCAGGATGGAGCGGGAGGAGCAGATTGTCTCTGACAACTCCGCCGTGATCGAGACGGAGCCCGGCATCCCGAAGCGTATGAAGAGAGCTAGAGGTCGTCTGTCCGCCTGTTGCCCCATTCAGTCCTCTGCTCTGCTCCTCTCCATTCCCGATTGCTCACATGCCCTCTCTTCCTGTCCTCCCCTCTCCTTCTCTTTTCCCCACAACAAACTCCTGTCTTGCTCTACATCCCATTAACATCTCCCCCCTCCCCCCTCCCCTGCCAAAGATTATCCTTCTGCTCCTGCTCCTGCTCCTGCTCCTGCTCCTGCTCCTGCTCCTGCTCCTGCTCCTCCTACACCCCGCCTACCAATCCTCCTCTCTCCTCTTCCTTCTTTCCGCCATCATCCATGCAACGTCTCTCCTCCTCCTCTTGACTGTCTTGGAGCAGGACGACAGCCGGGCGAGCGTGAAATTCTCCCACTCATGATCCCCGGACAGAATTTTGACCCAGAGATGTCGTCGCTGCATGAGATTGTCCCCAAGATCTCGCTGAAAGCCACTGAGACTCCAGGTCATGGAGGATAGTCGGAAAGAGAAGAGGGGGGACTCGAAGTGTTGAAGCAGGAGCAGGAGCAGGAGCAGGAGCAGGAGCAGGAGCAGGAGCAGGAGCAGGAAGGGTAGGGAAAGGAAGGGGAAGAGCATGGTCAGAGGTGGTGGAGGATGGATCGAAGGAGGAGGGGGACAGGAGTTGCGAGAATGAGGGCAGCAGCAGCCGGTGACCTGCTGCTGCTGCTGGTGACCAACTGGAGAAAGGAGAAGGCTTCTTCATGCGATGTGCTTGCTGACGGGATTCACAGGATGCAAATGGGAGGACATTCTTGAGAGCGAGCCTGCCTTGAGGGGACAGAGTTTTTATATGGACCAGCTGCTCGATCAAGGTAACTAGACTCCGACTCCTTCCTGTCCTCCTCCCGTCCGTCTCCTCTGCTGCCCTTTCCCAGTCTTCTCGTCCTTTTTTCGCCGTTTGCCTCCTCCTTCCCCCGTCTTCGGGGTACTCCTGTTCCACTCTGTCCCCCACTCCTCCCGCTCCTGCTCGTGCTCGGGCTCCTGCTTCTCGTGCTCGTGCTCGTGCTCGTGCTCCTGCTACTCCTGTTCCTGTTCTTGCTTCAGCTTGTACTGACTGTCTCTATACCAGATGTGTTCGAGGACTTCCGGGAGATCCACGACTCGTTTCTTCCATTAGAGCCAACCTACATGGCGACTGAGGGGTTGGGAAAATTCCTGATGAGGAGCTGGTATGCTCACTCCCCCCCTCTCTTGAAGCATACCGCTGCTACTTGTGTCCTCTCTTTCTCTCTTCTCTCCCCCTCCCCTTCCCTTTCCTCTTCCTTACCCTTCTCCTCCCCTGTCTTCTCCTGCTCCCCTCCCCTCCCCCCGCCTCCTTCCCCCACCCTCTTGCCTCCCCTCTCTTTCTCCCTTCTCTTCTTGTTTCCTCTCCTCTCTTGTCATAGATAGTTGCATCACTCCTTTTTCCTCATCTCTTTCTTGCTCCCTCCTGGTCCTCCTTCTCCTTCTCCTTCTCCTTCTCCTTCTCCTTCTCCTTCTCTTGCTCGTTCCTCCTCCTCCTCCTTCTCCTCGCCTCTCTCCACTGAATTGTCGATCGCAGGTCGAACGGCATTGTCGTGTGCCAACTTGTCTTCTCAAACGCACACCTTGACAGGCGAACTTGGATGGTGAGAGGAAAATCTCAGCTCAATCTCTTCCTCCTCGTCCTCCTCCTCTCCCTCAGCTCAAACTTCTTCTCCTCCTCCTCCTGCCCTGTCCCTCTCCTCCGGCCTACATGTGCCTCTGGCACTACTTCAAGTTCTTCTCATCCCCTCCATCTCCTCCTTCTCATGCCTTCCATTCAGGTCAGAGCGACGCTGCAGAACTCGCTGCATCGGAAGCAACAAATCTCCAAGGCACAGACAGTGAGGACCTACCGAGCCGAGGAGGTGAAGACTGGAGGGGAAGAGGGGAAGGGCAGGAGCAGGAGCAGAGGAGCAAGAGGGGGGGAGGGGGGGGGGCGAAGGAGGAGGAGGAGGAGGAGGAGGAGGAGGATCATGAGGGCTGTGGGGTCTGACAGCAGCCGCAGGCTCCGCTTTCCCTCAACCCCATCAGGCTCAAAGTTCTCATCTCAGAGCTCATCCGCTGCTCTCCCGACCAGATCGAAGTTCACAGCAACGAGCAGCGCGAGCGAGTCCGCACGGACCAGTCAGAGGCCACGATCAGCCTGCTGCCCTCTTCCTCCGTCCTTGACCGCAGGACCCCCGAGCAGCTGCTGATCGAGATGGAGAGGACGATCATAGAGCTGGGTGAGATGCGGAAACTCTCCTTCCCTCTCTCCCACGTCGTTCAGGTCGTCCCAGTCGAGCTCCCTCCCTCCCCCTTCCGCGAACACGCCGCAAACTTGGCAGCTGATGTCAGCGCTCTCTCCCTCCCATGGAATGAGCACGCCGGGGATCAAGACGTGTACGCTGGCGTGATGTACGAGGAGGAGGGGAAGGACAACGAGGGCGAGGACGAGGACGAGGACGAGGACGAGGACGAGGACGAGGACGAGGACGAGGACGAGGAAGAGGACGAGGACGAGGATGAAAAGGTTGAGAATGAAGTTGGAGCGCGTCAAGAGGAGAAAAGAGAAAAACAGGAGGAGGTGGTGGTGGAGGAGGAGTGGCAGAAGGAGCAGAAGAAGGTTGACACGGGATCAAACGGTGCGAGGGCTCGGCAGGCGGAGGTTCCGGTTCATCAGCAGTCAAGTCCAGCTGCACCCCAGCTGAGGCCTGAGGTGTCAAACCGAGCGCAGAGGGTGGAAGAGGAGAGGAGGCGGAGGATCGAAGGATCGAGAGCTCCCAGCATACCTCCAGCTGCCCCCTATCAGCACGGGACGTCGCCGTCTGGCTCGAGCAGCTCAGGACTTCGCGTCTCTTCCCCCTCGCACTTTGTGCACAGATCTCCCTATACCAACGAAGCGTCATCCTCTCCTCCTCCTCGCGTCTTCAGCCCCTCGCCCTCCCCTGCTCCTCCTCGCGCCTTCAGCCCCCGCTCCTCTGCTGCTATTCCTGCCTCCCTACAGCTGCATGATCGTCGTTCTCTTCCTAAGTTGCTCCAGAGCAACCGGGAAGATGAGCCACAAACGGTCACGGTCAAGATCTTTGACAAGCCAGCTGGAGGAGGGACGGGAAGTGGGGCGGAGAGGCGAGGGAGGAGCGAGAAGAGCTCTGTGTTTGCTGCCTTGGACAGGCCGTCAGAGAAGATGGAGAGCGAGAAAGAGAGGAAGGAGAAGAAACTTGAGCAGGTCGAGAGGAAGGGACGACCTGATATGGAGCAAGTCAACGGCGCGGGAGTAGCGACGAGGAGGCCTGTGACAGGAGGGAGCGAGAGGAAGAGCGAGAGACTGCTGGGTCAGAGCTGGAGGCAGGAGCGCGATCAGCAGC